TGGTTGGTTCTATGATTCTATGAAATCTCTAAAAGCACTTAATGTAGCCAGTGAGGACCAAAAAGCCACCAAGAAAAAGCCATGCTTAAAGGCAGTCCCAGCAATTTTGGCTACTTCATGATGATTTATTCTTGCAAGAGTATAGGAATTTTGAGGCAGATGCATTTCCAATGGACAAATCTGGGCAAACATACAATGGGCACCTCATGTTACATTGCCAGTGAACCACCTGATTGTACTTTTGTTTGCAAATATGCAGCATTTATGTTTTAAAATAAGCTTTGAATCTACTTGAGCTAGCAATCATAGTGTCATAGAATCATAGAATTTAAAGGTTGGAATGGACCTTAGAGATCATTTAGTCCCAACTCCCTGCCCTGGGCAGGGACACCTCCTCACTACATCAGGTTGCTCAAGGCTTCATCCATCCTGGCCTTGAAGTTATTTTACTTATCAGATGTAAATTTCAAGGACAAAAGTCTTTAACTTCACATACTTTTCCCCCATCTTTCATTTATTTTGGAGATCCAGTTCTTCCATACCAAATCTATGTAGGTACTGTTGTTTTCTCCCTCAGGCTCAGGATAACCAGGAAAAATGAACAAGGAATTCGTGTTGCTCCTCGAAAATAGCCAAGTATGGTTTATCAAGGTTAAAACAACTAGCAGTGTGTTATATGGTGTATAATCCTTAAACTTGTTTTATAATATGCCTGGTGCTCGTGCTCATATCCAGTTGTTCTCAGCCACATCATCTTCAGCTGAAACAACTGTGAAGTTTGTTATTCAATACCCAAAGGAAATAGCTTCATCATGGACTTCTATATTAAAGTGAATTTTCTCTCTCTCAGTGGCTGAAGGGCTTAGAATCCTTAAAGAAGGACTTGTCATCACTGGTCACGTTCACTTTTTTTCTCTCCTGCTGCAGATCATAATGCTGGGCTCAGTGTCAGAACTGCAGGGCTACATTGATAAGACACAATTGACAGAAGATCTTGGTGGCACCCTGGATTACTGCCACAACAGATGGCTGTCCCGGCGCACTGTAAGCCTGAGGTTTTGGTTTCAAACCCTTCTCTTCTATACCCCTGTCATCTCTAAAACAGATTCCAAGTGATGCAAGTTGACTTGCTCAGAGTGAGAAGATGTTCCCAATGGTACTTAGTCATCTTAGAGAAATAATATGAGTAATAACTTGGGAGTGGTTTTCTGAGCACTTGGAGCAAAGAGCTACAGTGTCTTATTGTGTTGAGGTTTATTGGGTTTGCTACAAGCAAAGAAAAAGCTCAAGTTGTGAAATAACTCCAGATGATAAAAAATATGAAGAAGATACACCTGATAGAAGCCCAAGAGAAATAGACAATTAAGGATTCAATGGTGACGGTATCTGTTGCTTGCAAAACCTTTCTTTGGCCAGTTTCAGTCTTGTATTCAGTGTTCAGTTTCTCAGCCTTGTAATTCATCTGTTTGGATTTGGTTTGAGACTTCTATTTTGTGTGCATGTGTCTGTCTGTACATATGTGTGTGATGTGCACAAAAATATCTTTCATGCTTTTTATTCCAAAAGGCTATAGAAGGTTTTGCCCAAAAGGTTAAGCAAACAGCTCAGATTCTTCAGTCCTTAGGGACTGAGCTGGCTGAAACAGAGCTACCAAATGATGTGCAATCAACCAGTTCCCTCCTTGCAACACACACAGAAAAGAAGGACAAAATGAAGGTATGTAATTTTTGTCAAGATGCTTTCTTCTGGTTAAGCTGTGTTTTAATTTATACCTAGCAATGTTAACAGAACATATGGAAGATGTTAACAGACAGTAATAATGTGCAGCACTGAAATCTTACTGAACTTGCTTTGCTTGATGTTAAAAATCCTCCTTGCATTGAAAAATGGCATTTCTTGAAGCTAAGTTTATGCCTGTACAAATGCATCATGATTTGCCTGTGGAACAGTCATTCCTTTGTAAGCAGTGGTGTGTTCGGTTTGTAGTTGTGTTTGCAGCAGGAAATTTGATTGTATTTGCATGCACAGGAAAATATATGGCCTTTTCAAGCACGAACAAATGCTCTTTCAAACCGGCCCAAATGAAAGCTGTTTGGTGGTTTCCAAGCTGTGCATCTAAAATGGTTGAGATATTTGTAGCCTAAAGCAACACTAGAAGGCTCTGTCGTGAAAATTCAAGGCAGTTACACAGGGATCTTAAGGTGGTAAACAGACATTTATGGTGTAGAGTCTGTTGTTAAACACTGCCTTTAATCAAACTGTGTTTGCTCTACTGATGTTAAAATCCTCTTTTCCAGTTTGGTGCCTTATGAAGTCTGCTTTAAAAAAATCCAACAACACACAACTACAGCTTGTGGGGGGTTTGTTTTGTCTTGTAGGAGGATATCAGGGTAGTATTAGAACAGGGAGATGATATCCTTGGAAGTATTACCAAACCAGTTGCTGAGAATCCTGACTACAAACTGAATCAAGACCAGCTAGACAATCAAACCACGGTAGAAAGGTGAGAGAAATGAAATGCTGAACATGCTGCTTGTCTGGGTTTTTTTCACCCCTCTCCAGCTCTTTTCCTTCACAAATAAGCAAATGTTAAAGTATGAACATTATAAACCATTTCAGAAACAGCTCCTCTTGTTGTCAGGTCTGTCCTGAGCAAAGTAACCCCATAAAGGCCACTACTGAGTCACCTGGCTATGAGAAAATGGGGTTGGAATTCTGAAACCAACAAAGCAACATTGTTCTATTTATTTTTCTGTCATATTTGGACTATATAGTTGAGCAGCTTTGCCTTATCTTAAAGAACATCAATGCTTTGTTCAGAGACTAAAGTGCAATTCAAGGAAACTTTGCTGCTGTAGGGAGATCAGGAGGGGAAGACAGAAATGATACATCCCTTCTTTTCAGTAGATTTGTCCATCTTCACTGGGTCTTTTTGAATTGAAGTGGGAGAGGTTGTTTTTTTTTTAAAACTTGATAACTTATCAATGTTTTTTTAGAAGTCTTTAAAGGGCTACTAGGGAGTATGTCACTGCTGAAGTGTCTATGCACCAACTTCCTTTATGTTTCATTTGGACATATAAGTAAGAGATAATAGAATCATAATATTTAAGGATTGGAATGGACCTTAGGGGTCATCTATTCCCAACCCCCTGCCCTGGGCAGGGACACCTCCTCACTAGATCAGGTTGCTCAAGGTTTCATCCAACCTGGCTGTGAACACTGCCAGGGTTGGGGCAGCCACAGCCTCCCTGGAGAACCTGGGCCAGTGTCTCACCACCCTTAGAGTAAAAATCTTTTTTCTCACATCCAGCCTTGACTTTCTCTCTTTCAGTCGGAACCCGTTACCCCTTGTCTTGTCACTGCAGTTCCTAGCACAGAGTCCCTCTCTGGCTCCTTGTAGGCCCTTCAGTGATTGAAAAGTTGTTCTGAGGTCTCCACATAACCTTCTCTTCTCCAGGCTGAACAGCCCCAAATCCCTCAGCCTGTCCTCACAGGGGAGATGCTCCAGTCCTCTTAGCAACTTGGTGGCCTCCTCTGCACTTGCTCCAACAGTTTCCATGGCCTTATGTTGAGGACACCAGAATTGCATGCAGGATGTTGTTTTCCTTTGCTCCTCACCTGCCCCACACACACATACACACACACAGCTTAAACTACTGCCAGGTCTGAAAACATTCTCTCACTGTAGCCCAGATGTAAATTCTCCCAAAGCTATGAAAGCATAGCTCATTTCCCCCGGGCACTATTCTGCATTCTTTTTTTGTCTGTCATTCTGTGTTCCTGTTACAGTCAGGCTCACTTTTCTTTCCAAATAAGTGTCCATTCCAATCCACAAAGCTTGGCAGAAGTCACTTTTTTTGGTCATTGTTATCAGCTATCCAAAGGACAATTGAGGTGGGGCTTGCTAATTTATCCAAAACATTCCCACTCAATGCAATATCTGATGGAAGCTGGAGCAAACTGTGTGTGTGTCCCTGCCTTCTTTTCTAATCAGTTTTCATTTGTCAATGCAGATTCCATTTCTGTGCTGTTGAAGGAAAAAGCTTATTAAAATTCTGATGTCTAGCCTTCCCTGGATGTAGCCTAAGTACAGCAAAAGGCACTGCAACAGAGAAGTCCATAGGATACCACACCATCATAGAATCATCATGGTTGGAGGAGACCTCTAAGATCATTGAGTCCAACCATTAACCTGCCACAACCCCCATGTCCAGATCATCAACAAACACTTTCAACAGGACCTGCTCCAACACTGAACCCTGGAGAAACACCTCTAGTGACCAACCCCAACGGGATTTAGCTCCATCCACCACAAGTCTCTGGGCCATCAGCCAGTGTTTCACCCATCCAAGAGTCCACCCAACCAAGCTAAGAACTAGCTGGATGGCCCAGAGAGTGGCGGTGAGTGGTGCCACATCCAGTTGGTGCCGGTCACTAGTGGTGTTCCCCAGGGGTCAGTACTGGGCCCAGTGCTCTTTAATATCTTTGTTGATGATTTGGATGAGGGGATTGAGTGCACCATCAGCAAGTTTTCAGATGACACAAAGTTAGGGGGAGGTGTGGATCTGCTGGAAGGCAGGACGACTCTGCAGAGGGACCTGGATAGGCT